TTTACAATTTTAAGTTAAATTTCAAACATGAATCCCAAAACTATTTTTCCCAAATATACTGATTTTGTTGATAAGCCAACCTAGTCCACAGAAAAGCAATTATCATTACTCATGTAACACTCATTCATGTTTGTGGATTTATCAAGGGAAAAGGTTAAATTTCAGATAAAAAGTGAGGACATTGAAGTGCAAAGGGGTTAAACAAGCCCATAGCAATCATGACAATCAATGATACAGGAAGAGAACTTAAATCTATTACACATAGAATTGTATTCTGGCCCAATGTTTTACTAAGTACACAGTTTTACTAAGTACATTTTACTGAATTATCACTTTATTTAACTAGATACTTCATAAAACAACCCAATATTTAATTAAGAACCAGAGGTGATGATAAAAGAGTTAAAATAATAATCATACGTAGGAATTCTGAGGGTGTTCAAGATTTAAACAGTAACTTTCTTCCTTCATGTGAAGACTACCAATGGACATATATTTAGCAATTTCTCTTTAAAATCTTAAAAAATTTTAATTCTTCCATAAAACAATTTGAAAATGACTGAAATACACTAATGGTTTATAAACAAATGTTTTTCTTAACATTCAGCTTAACATACTTTCTCAATATTTCAACTTTTTAATGCCACCCCAATCACAAAAGAAGTCTGAGGGTTAGATGAACTTTGTGAAGATCTATAAACTTTACAAAGTAATAATTCATCCACCCTCTCCTCCCCTCACCCACAGGGAAGTGTGATCAGGTAGCTGTGAAACTTCAGATTCTGTCAGTGTACTTGTTCCAAAAGGAGCCCTGGTGGCACAATGGTTGTGTCTAGCTTTTGCACATCAGCTGCTCTGAAGAGGAAAAAACCTTGTGATCTGCTCTGGTCAAGATTTAGGCCGAGGAAACCCTATGGGGCAATTGTGCCCTGTCCAATGAAGTGGATTCTGATTCGTGGCGAGTCCATGGATTACAGAATAGAACTGTTCCATAGGGTTTTCTCAGCCCCAATTGTTAGAGATCTCCAGACCTTTCTTCAGAAGCACTACAGGGTGGATTCCAACTGCCAACTTTGCTGTCCGTTTGCTGTTATGTGTTGGCAAATCTATTCCAACTACTAGTGACCCTAGCGGACTCTTTTGTTGGCAAGCAATACCAAAAATTTTGGACTGTAAGAAGAATGAGCAGATCTGTTTTAGAAGAAGTACAGCCAGAATATTCTTTAGAAGAGGGTGAGGAGACTGGATACTATCAGGAGGGACCTGTTCTTCTAGGAGGATATCATGCTTGGTAGAGAGTCCTCAAGTAAGAGGACTTAGATTGACACAGCAGCTGTAAAAATGAGCTCAAACAGAGCAACAACAGTGAGGATGGCCAAAGACCAGGCAGTGTTGTTCCCATTTCTTGCACCCAGGGTCCCTACAATTGAAAACCAATTCAATGGCACCTTACAACAACCAAACTAAAAAAAAAAAAAAAATCAAATCCACTGCCATAAGTTGATTCCAATTCATAGAAACTTTATATAATAAGGCTTATGAGGCTGTACATCTTCATGAGAGCACAAGAAGAGAGCTTCACTCTTTCTCCCAGACTGGCTGGTGGGTTTGAACCATCAGCCTGGAGACTTGCAGCCCCAATGCTTATCCCATAGCACCTCCAGGGCTCCATTACCTTAAAAACTCACAGAGACTCTATAGGGCAGAGTAGAAATGTCCCTGTGGGTTTCAGAGACTGCAATTCTTTGCAGGAGTAGAAAGCCTCATCTTTCTCCTGCAAAACAGCTGGTGGTTTTGAACTGCTGACCTTGCAGTTAGCAGTCCAACTTGTAACCACTACACCACCAGGGCTTCAAGAGGGTGAAAACAGGGGATTATAGGGATTCAAGGGTACACGTTTTGGACAGTTTTAGTTGTTAAACAGAGATATTATATTTTCATAATAAAAAGGCAAAATAATTTGAAAATGCTAGCATGTTACATAAATATAAGGTATCAACTACTATGCCAGACCAATCTACCCAGAAACTTATTTAAAAAATTAAACAGAATTAAAACCTCCTATTGTTTCTGATAGACTTATTCGAAGTTAACATTTTTCCTAATTCTTAGTTAGGAGGTAAAAAGTTTAATAGAAAAATTAAGCCCTATGTTAAAATAAATTTAAATATCGAAAGAAATGACTGACAACATGCTAATTTTATTTTCAAGCACCTAGTTCTTAGAGAAGCTTAGAGGATTAGCAAAATAAATGATAAGGTATTTTGAGGGGGAAAGTTAAAAGTTAGATACAGTAGGAGACAGTTTAATTTCTTAAAATCTTATATTAGTTTCTCATTTTAAAAAATCCTTTGGGCAAGGTCTATTTATGAAATATTTTCTGTGACAACATAGTTTATTCTGAAATTTGCACCAGAAAAACCCTGCAATCTACTTACTAATGGTTTTTGCACAAATGAACTTCTTATGGATCAAAGATTGGATTTATTTTGTTAAACTTTATTCATAGTATGCTTTAAGGAAAACTAGCTGGCACTCTTCCACCTCAGACTCATGGACAAAGTGTAACACAAGCAGGATGGAATAAACACTTGAAAGATCCTGGGAACCCAGATAACTGAACCACTCCACAGTCCCACTGTATTTCAGAGCAGGAAGAAAAATTCTTTCATACACATACTAAAGGGCTTTCCACTGGTTTCTGTTGAGGCCACAAATGAGAAAGGGGAAAAAGTACTACTGACAAAAACCACAAGGCTGTGGTACCCAATGCACTGCCAAAGTAGCAAAAGAAACAACTGATTTTTTCCCTTTGAATTACTTTTCAAGCAATTTTTGAACATGGAATGAAAGTAGCTTTTCATATTAGTGGGAAACCCACATAAGGGTTTTATTTCCTTAATTAACTTGATACATAAGAATTTATCCTGAATGCAGAATTTTCTTGCAAGGAATACTACTACATTTTCAAGCAAATACTTAGAATTAATCTAAAGTTTCCATTCACTTTTCTCTCACTGTACTAGGGTCCAAATACTTGCTCCTTTCTCTTAGTGACCAAATACTAGAAATAAAACATTCAATGCACTTTCAACTTGTACAGCCATACATCATATAATTTAGATGTCTATCTTTTGGCCAGGCTTTTAAAAGCAAAATATATAAGCACTAACACTGCATCTCCTAGCTTGAAACCAATCATATTTCATATTAAAATAATTTGCTAAACCAAACGAATAAGTCGTTAATAAGTATAACACTAAAGAGTCATAATATTACTAAAAATCAAATTAAACACAAAAGAAAAATCCTACTACTAATCTTTCAACAATAGACTAGTGAACAAAAAATAGCAACGATGTTTTAATTACGCTTAAATTGTTAAACTCATGACTAACAAGCAATGTCCTACTCGGTAAGATAATATTCTTTTAGCTGTGACAATACTCAAGAATTAAAAGTCTTGGCAATACCTACAATTTCGGCTACCACTGAGTACCATGTGTTAAGTGTTAGCAATTTTTGTATGTTCAAGAGCAATCCAATGATAAACGTGACAGCAGCTAGTAAGGGTATCTTACATAAAACTTAGCAAACACCAGTTGGATTCTGCAGTAGGATGTCCTTGATAGAGGCAGCTCCAAAGGCAGGGCTGTCTTAGAGTGGGGTTCCACGGCGATTGCTGGCCAACTGTGATTTGATCTGGAGTTTTCTTTAGACTCCTTGTCAAACTATGGCTGGATTCATATGCCCAAAGACAGATCAGAATCACACTGGCCTTCAAGACGATTCTAAAACTTTTCAATAGCTTGCAAAATCGGACGAGTACCGGTACTTATCTGTTTTTGTAAGAACCTTTAATTTCCTGGCCTTGCAAAGCAGAGATCTCTATCACATTCCATTTGTTGCCAAAAAAGAAAAAAAATTTTTTAATTTCTAGGACGTTAACATCTATCGGTTCTATCATGATATTTATCTCATAAAAAGATGTTAAAATTCTAAAACTAAGATATCAGATTCACCAAGAATAAATGGGTCACTAGAAGAAAACTTGTTTAAAATCCTGGGGGGG